GGGATACAGTAAAGAAAAGCTGTAGTCTGGAAGCAAGTTCCTAGCCTTTCCTTCGACGCAATGAGCCCTGGCTGGAGCCTGCCGTATCAACTGCTGTTAATGTGTAAACTGAGAATCCTAAAAGCACACTCTTAAATACTGGTGATAAGAGTCTTGTGTGTGTAGAACCTTGAGGGCCACTTCTCGGTGGGAGGAAAGCTCAATCGGGGTCAAACTGAGAATCCTAAAAGCACACTCTTAAATACTGGTGATAAGAGTCTTGTGTGTGTAGAACCTTGAGGATCCCAAAGCTCTTCTCATACACACTCAGCTGACACATGAGCGCTGCACAGAGGTGATTTTGGGTGGGTGTTTGCTGTGTCCTTGGGAACTTTAGTGTTACTGGCAGTGGGGGCCACTTCTCGGTGGGAGGAAAGCTCGATCGGGGTCTCGTGTTATGGTCTCAAGTGCCTTTTGCTGAGTTGGGGCCTTCGCTGATTTAGTTTAAATGGCTCTGGAAATCATCCTTGAATGCACTGGAAACAGTAACCCGAGGCCAAAGTTTTTCCTGTGCACACACTGCATCTTTTTGCAGAAGACCAGTGCCCGGTGCTGTGTTTTTGTGGTAGTGTAGCAGTGCCTGAGCTGTGGATTGTCTTTTGGGGCTGAATCCCACCTGAAGGAGTCTGAAGGCACAGATGATCCCCAAGCCTCCCTTTCATGCAGTGAGTCAGTTTTGTGCTGACCGGACTCTTCCAGGATTTGTTACTTTCTCCTTCCTCCTTCCCACGGTGCAACTCCTGCGTGGGATGGGGCACAAGGACTTTAATGGAACAGGCTGTGCAGCAGGTCTCTGGGGATGGCAGATAGCTGGCCTGCTGCAGCTGAAGTTTCGTAAGTCGGGCAGGTTTGGGTCTGGCTGCTCGTTTCAGTGGGGCCTGATGTGGAGAAGCTCCCAGTAGGAGCTGTGGGAATACTGATGGCTACTGGGCAGGAGGCTGCCTTCTCTCTGAACCAATATAGAAAGGTTTGGCCCCAGAAGCTGCTGTGCCGCTGGAAGTGCCGTCTTTGTGCTGTGAAAGAAACCTGTCACTGGTAGGCAGGGCCGGTCCCGCATGGCTTTTGGAATACCTGGAAACCTCCGTGTCCTGGCCCTGTTCCAGGTAGGTGACTCCTTTCCACTTCTGCAGTTCCCGTCTTCCTGTCCCTGTGGCTCATGCTGCTGAGGGGTGTTAAGCAACTGCCCTCTCCCACCGCAGATAGGGTGGGTGAAGTCTCTTCTTTACACACTGTGTTATCAGGTAGAGTTTTTAATACACTTGAGGATGAAAACTGCTCCACACAGCAAGATGTCCCATGCATGGCCTAGGCTGCTCCCGCTGCCCAATTATGGGCTGGCTGCTAGGTGGTGGTTTGGGGTAGTGCCAGCAGCTCATACAGGAAGTCCCCACCGTCACATCTTTGTTTGCCAAACATCCGCAGTTAAAAAGCAAGAAACAAAAAACCCACCCCCGCTGAGTTTATGAAACAAGTAAACACTAGGGTAGGCTACTAATGAAGTGGCCGGAGACAAGAAGTGGGAGGGGGGCAGGAAGAAGCAGGGCCCACAGAAGCCGGGAAGCATCTCTTGTCCAGAGCTCTTGGCTTTGGGGCCCTCATTCTGCTCCTACTTTCCTTGATTTAATGCAGCCACTTAGTGACCTTGAGGCCAATGTGTACCATTGTGAGAGTAGTATCAGTCCCTTAAGCCCTGCCTACGCAGGCAAAACAAGTGCTTTTCAGTTGGGTCCTTTGCTAAATCCAAGATAAGGGGTAACATGTATCTGTCCAGCGGTGCTGGGAGCATTCCAGGGGCATGCACGCTGCTGAAATACTCACCCGTCTTACCCACAGAGGCATGGCCCTGGCGCCCTGGCGGCTCTCCCCCATGTACAGCTCACTGCCCCAGACAGCGATGCAGTTGTGGAGCACAGAGCTGAGGCACAACCTACACTACAGAGGTTTCCCTGCAGAACTCCAGGCATCGTGGAAGACATGCCACTTGAATGGGGATGGGGCAAGGACTTCTAACCTGGGAAGGAGGAGACGATCCATCTCAAGTGGGCTGCCTGAGACGATACTTGGATGTGGGGAGCAGCTTGGGGAGGAGATGTACATTCATACTCCCAGGATGAAGGGTGGGAGACATCACACAAGTTCATACCACCTAATCGGTTCCTTAACTCGGCTTCACGCAGCAACTGCTTCTGCCTTCCCTAAATGAACAAATCTTGAATAACTTCCAGCTGGTCACCTATTAGACTCCCGTGGAGATGCCACCCATTTTAAACCCAAATTCACCCCTGTCCCAGCTACTTTGAAGCAAGCCCTTTACTGCGAAATAATCCCTTTGGGGCTGAAGAACATAGTTTGATTCAAAAGGAAAGGGGTCTGCACTTTTAAAGCTTTCAGTCCAAATAATTGGCTGGTGTTTAGTTTCCTTTGGTACAGAACGCTGAAGTGTATGGGGTTACTGGGGAGGGAGGAGGGGGTTGCCATAAAATACTCCCAAAATAAACTAAAACCCTAAAACCTGGAAATAAGCAGTTTTTACATTTCACTCTCATTTTCACAAAAATAGCTGGGAAATATGGGTTTTACCTTCTTAAAAGTAGCACATGCTCACGAGAGGCAGTACTGAAATATTTCGAAATGTCAAACTTGTGCATTTGAGAATCTTTTTGGCTAATATAAGATTTCCCATAAAAAGTCTTGATATCCAATTGAAAATGAAATCCCCCATATCACCATAGGCTCTAAAAAGAGCAAAGCTAAGGGTATTTTTTTCACAACAGAGTCCAAGAAAAAGGTGTCTGAGTGGGAAAATGGTGAGAGAAGCAATAGAAAACATTGGGGGTCTCTACTCAGATTCAGATCCCAGTTGAACCAGTGTAAGTCCTCATCAGTTCCACTGAGGCCGGTGTCTTTGTTCTAGATGTATGCTAGTGTCGGAGATCTGAAACCAGCCCCGACTCTTTGCTAATCTCTCCATTTTTAATGTGACAAAGATGGTGAAAGAGTCTCTAAAGTAAAGTCCAAAGAGCGCCTGGCGGGAGCAGGGCCGGAGGGGAGGAAATGGTGGTAACTGGAGCTCAGAATGCACTCAGTGTTCGCCGCCCTCCCCTGAACACACCTAAACCTGTTTGTCCAAGAAACACAATCGCCCCGTAGCTCTCGGCAAAATCAGACCAAAAAAATTGCAACCACGTTCTGGCTTTCACAGAAATGCCTGAGATTTCTACAAAGTCACTGTCTTCAGGAGGAAGGAGACTTAAAGAGCAGGAGGGTAAAGTCCAAGGGGCAACTGAGGCCAAAGAGAAAAATATTTAAAGACTTCCTTACCTAGGATCTGTGGCCCAAGGAGGAGCAGAGCCCCCACCCAGCTGGGGCCAGGGGCTGAGAAAGGCAAGTCCATGCTGCAGAGACTCCCCCAGTGCCCAGTGGCTCCCCTCCCCCAGAGGACTGGGTGAGGAGTGATCTCCCAGAAGTCTCCCCTTCCTGGGACTGTTCCTCCACTTGCCTCACCCTGCCAGGCTTGGGAGCACTTGCTCCAGCCTGAGTCACGGAGCAGGAGCGCTCCCGTACCCTTGCGCTGGAATGAAAGGTGGGGCCAGCGAGCTCGCCTCCCTCCCACAGCCCAGGCAGATTGCAAAGGGAGTTTGAGCTCTCCTTTCCCCTTGCCAGCTTACTCCACCTTCCACTTGGAGCCATCCTTGCATTTGAGAGGCTGGAAAATCTGCCCCAGGGTGTTTACAAACACAGCTGAAGGGAGCACTGATTGTTTTTCAATCTGCAAAGGACGGTCCTTATGGCAGCAATACAGGCCTCCTCCTGACTTCTCACTCAGCCTTGGCCCGGAGGCAAGGGGAGAAAAAAGCTCTTGCTGAAACAAGTGCCTGCAGTAAGAGCAGCGGGAGCAGATGTGAACACATCCCTCTGTAAAATGGGTGTAATCAGAGAGGGCGCTCTAGCATCCCTTCTGCAGCACAATAAACAGCCTAGAGGAATAAGGAACTCAACGGCACCAGGTTTTTTCCTCACAAGTAGCGAGGGGAAGTGTCTGCATTAATAAGATAAGAGGGTTTGCGGTAGAGGGACAGAAGTCACTTCTGGCTGTCCTTAGAAGAGAGTAGAAGTGGCTGCGCCTTATGGCTGTGGCAGGTCCTTAAGTTCCTACCTCCCTGGTTCCTAGGGCACAGTTATCACAGGACAGAGACCTCAGTTGCACAAACTGCCTTCCCCCAACACACACACCTTCCTGGTAGTCACCGCACTGGGGCCAATTGCAGTCTGGAGGGCCGTGGAGCTGAACTCCCTGCTCGCTGACGGGGCCTCTCTCTGGGATATGGTATGCTGCCAGAGGCAGCCTGAGGACCGTACCCGGCAGCTGCCCATTCTCCAGTGCTCTTACCCTCCGTTTAGGCATGGAGACAATGAAAGCACATGAACAGAGCGAGGAGACCGCAGTTTGATGAAGAGCCTGGGGTAGGAGCTCACAGGTTTTGCCAGGAGAGAGGCTACAGGTTCAGAGAGTACATCTCCTCTCCCGTTTGCTGTCACACCCCTCCCTATGGCAGCTTGCTAGGAAATGAGCAACATGTCATCGGCTTCTTTTAATGCAATCTGGAAGCAAGGAGAAGCCCCAGCACAGCATGCCTAGTCAGCAGTCTGCGGATCGATGGTGCACACAGCTGGCTGACAGGTTCACAGTCCTGGTACTGGCTGTAAAACACCATACATGGCTATTTCCACTGTGTGCTTTGCCCCTCTCCTATCCCCTCCTTGCTTCATATCACCAGTTTCCTTTAATTGCTCTTCAGAACTATTTCTCCCATTCTCTTACTTTTAAAAGTTGCACGTTTATTGTCAGGCATTGGTTTTTTTGCAAGGGGGGAGGGGAGGAATGTGTTTGCTGCCACAATCCTTGTTTTAAACTTCTGCATAAAATGGATGGACCACTGTTAGAAATGGTGCTGAAGATGGTTTATGGCTGAAAAAGAGCACTGTCTGCAGAGACTTCAGAGTCAGCAGCTGGGACAGATTGGGCTGGAGTGCTCTGGGCAAAAGTGAGCTGAGTAAATGGAGGTGGCTGATTAAAAAGGGCTTGGTTTCTAGAGAATTACCAGGGAAGGTAATCTCAAAAGATCCCAGTAGAGAAAAGAATGATGATTTTACAATAAACTCCAAAGCTTGGAAGAAGCAGCAGAGTTATTGAAGGGCCTTGAAGAGACTGGAATGGAACAAGAATGAGAGGAAGTGGGAAAGGAAAGAAGCCAGCCAGCCAACAGAAGAGGAAGCTGTTGCTGTCCCCCAGCTTCGCTGTGCTACGGAAAGCACGTTAATGGTCAGAGCAGGGGACGGGGTGTCAGAACTCGTGTTCTGTCCCCTGTACCACAGCTAAGAGCAAGGTCTGAGCAAGTCGCTCCCTGCATGTGCTCCTGTTTCTTTCTGTGGAAGGAGAGGTGACGCCAGCCTACTCCTGCTATTGCTGGGATGTGGTGGCATCCGGCACTTTGCTACAGCTCCAGAGACCTGAACCCATGCCCTGCTCTGGGCACATCCCAGAGGCTGACCCATCTGCAAGTAGGTACCCTGGTCACTCGTGCTGGGGAGTTAAAGGTGGCTGTATGTGAAGCCTGCGCTGTGGGCACTGCTGTGCCTCCCCCATGCCAGCTGGGCTGTTTGGCTTGGGTGGGCCTTTATAAAGTTGTGGCGATTTGTGCGCTATTTGCAAAGGGCTTTGAGATTGTGGGGTGAAGAGGGCTCCCCTCACCATCAGGCCAGGGAGGAACAAGTTTCCTGCTGCTCCTTGGTGCCCCCTCCCTGGTGGCATAAGGAGTGGGCCCGTGGAGCCCTTCCTCTCCCTGCCTCTGGAGAGGCTCTCACATCACCACTGCTCCTGGGAGCCACCACAGCCCCCTTCCCTCTCCCCTTGGGGGCTTGCAGGAGCGCAGAAAGTGTTGTCCGAGAGCAGGACATTTAGTCTGTGTCTGCAGTCCCTCCTGGAGCATGGAAACTTGTGGCAGGGAAAAGGAAAGGCCGGGCTCCGTGTGCACGTGACTGAGTTCTTGTTAATTCCTGCAGACAGACTCCATTGGCCACAGGCCTGGGAGCAGCCGGGGAAGCTGAACACATGCAGCTGCCATGGCCCAGGGCCCACCCCGGCAGGCAGGGCGACTCCTTCCCCACATAGTCTGTGAAGAGCTGACGGGATGGGGATGTGCCGTCAAGAAGCCGTCACTCTTGTTAGTTCTGCAGAATCCCACAGTATGCAAATCTCTAGTGCTGTGGACCGCTCTGGCCTGGCTGCTCAGTGTGGTTTGGGTTCAGGCCTGAACTTGCAGCAGTTTGGCAATTGTCTTCTGTTTTGCCCCGTGGCTCCCTTTCCAGGTGGGGGAGGCTGGCCCAGTCCCACAGGGGTGCGTGTGTTTCCTGATTCTGCGGAAGCGGATCCATCCTGCTTGCAGAGTGTTCGGCCTTGCCTCATCTGTTGTGCGCGGGGAGGGGATGGATCAGGGCATGGGCAGCACCACAGTGGGCTGTTCTCTGCTGTTTCATCCCTCCTGAAAATGGCTCCTACGGCCTGCGCTCCCCTGGAAATTGATGCTTTTGCACCCGTGTCCCCTAGAGCAGTGGTTCTCGACCTTTTCTGTACCAGGACCCATTTGGAAACATCAGTGCCCAGTCTTGGCCCTGTGCCCCTCACTCCCAACACGCTGCCCCCAGCCCTCCAGTGTGCGGGGCACGGGGGCCACAAGCAGTCCCTTGCAAGCTGGAACTCTGACATCCTGCAAGGGACAAGCCACAGTTTCCCACCCTTTTCTCCTTTCAAGAAGAATGCATTTTTAAAGTTTGTTCACGACCTTTTCATCTATTCTTGCGACCCACTTTTGGGTCATGACTCATGGCTTGAGAAACGCTGTCCTAAAGTGTCATTCATTCTAGGCGCTCCCAGACGAAGAGAACTCAGTGAACCTTACCCAGGACCAGCAATTTACCTTTCTGTACACCTCATACTCCAAAGACCTCCGAAAAACTGCACACTAAGAGTGCAGCCATGGCTTAAGCAGTGTGTGACAGCTGAGAAGGAGCTGGTGGCAGAAAGGAAAGGACATTTTGGTCAAAGGCCCTAAGGAGAAAGTCTTCTCAGTTTATGAAAACTGCCCAGTGGGATCGAAAGTGTCCATGCAAAGAAGGTAGCTCCTGGCTTCCAGCCTCTGCTCAGACAGCTCCCAGGGCTGGGAGCAGAACCCAGAGTCTTCACAGCTCTGCCCCCTGCCTCCGACCATCACATCTGAGAAATCATTTACACTGCAGCCAGGAGATACGGGAGCAGGTCTGGGCAGGTCTCCAGGCTTCAGGCCTCCATGATGTCCCAGAGATAAGAGTCCCTGAGGACCCAGGTGAAAATGATTGGTTTATAAAAGATATCACATCTACTCAAAAAAGCTTGCCTGGTTTAGAGAGTGAATTTCAAACCCCAAAAGGTGAAGAGCCTTCAGATAAGGATTGGACAAAGGCAGCTGAGTACCACACCCTCTGCCCATTTCAGCATCTGTTCCCAGAGCTGCCCCCATTGATAGGTGTTTAAATCTTCCATTCTTGCATGACAAAAAGAAGTGCAGAAGCCCTGGCATTGACCACTGTTTCCTGCAGAGTGCAGAGGTCCTTGTCTGGTGGCTGGCACCCAGCCATACAGCTCTGGCTCTGGGATTTCCAGCACGCTGGATGCTGTCATTACAGTTCAGATGGAAGCAGGGTTTTGTGGTTAAATCGGGGAATTCAACGGCTCTGGGGTTCTCTTCCGTCTCCTGGGAAAGCCACTTCCCCTCTGGGCACGAGTCCCATTGAGCTGGTCATTCCTTAACCCTCAGCACTCATGTAGCACTGCCCATCTGTACAAGTCACTGCTGGTGTGAGATCCTATTTGACTGTCACAGGTGCTGAGCCCTCTGAAATGAGTGCAGGCACTCAGTGCCTCTGGCAACCAGGTCCTGGGGTCGCACACTGAGCGTCCAGAATCAGCACCTGCTTCTGCAAATGTAGGCCTAACAACTATGCAGGGCCACGTCACTGCCAGGCAGTGATCACCCCAGCCCCAGCCCGTCTCCTTGCAGGAGCGGCAGCAAGGGCCCCGATCAGGGAACAAGCCTAGGAATGGCTTCTCTCCCGTGTGCAAACGTGCCTGCTGTGCAGGCCAGTAGCAAAAGGCCAGAGTGCTGCTGAGTGGGGAACGGCCCCCTCTAGCGGCATCACGCCACTTCTGTGCTAATCCTAAAACCCAGCGTGTCCCTTTGATTTCCGTGTATGAAAGGTGTCAGCGGGCTCCTCCAACCTTCCCCTCCTCCAGGGCACTAGAGGCAGTGCCCTCACCCCACAGTAGGAGAGAAACCCTCCTCCTCCCCAGAATGGCAGCCCCACAGCCCAGCTTTGCTCACGTGGCTCCCACAGACTTGACTTCTGTAGGGCACAGGGTTGCCGGACAGATTCATATAAGCCAGGGCCCCTGACAGTCATAGCAAGGGAAGGGTTTGTCTGAGCATCCTTGCCCTCCCCACGTACCCTGCCACTTGCAGCTTAGCGGGTGCATACATGTGAGGCACAGAATTGGGAAAACCCATTTTATGGCAAATTCAGGTTCCTAACACATGTGTAAATGCTGTCATGTGCATGCAGAGTTCCCCCTACCTGCAAGCTTGCCCATTAGCAATCCTTTCATCACCACTGGGTCCATGGCACATGCTTTGGGAAGTACCAGCATGTAGTCCCTGCCTCTAGTGGGTCTGGAGCAGAGTCACTGAGGTTCCCATGTTTGTCCTGGACCTGACTGCAGGGGCATGGGGCTGGCACGAGTAGAGGTGACTGCAAGGGCAGGGACCACATAGCTGCTTCCTAGTTATTTGCTACTTCTCCACTAGAGCCCAGAGTAACAGCTTGTGCTGAGCTGTCTGCTGCCGTGGACATGATGTACTCCTGTGCACATGGTATCAAGTGGAAAGTGGGTGAACCAGAGCCTGGAATGGCTCAGGACACACTGCCCTTTCCCTGGTCAGTTGTCACGTGGCTTGGCATGTTGCTATCTATCTACTTTTTCACTTATTTCTGGCCATGACCATCAGGGGTTGGGTGGGTGCTTCCCAGTCGGAGAAAAGGGCCCAGTCCCTGCTGAAAAGCAGGCGCCACACATCTGGCTGTGGGGACAGATGCATACATGTATTTTCAAATGGGTGTGCAAGGTGCTTTCAGGTTCCTCCTCTTCCCTGGCACTGTCAGTGGGAGTTTGTGCAAAGTGAAAGGGTGGGGAAGGATGTCACCCCATAGGGAGCATCGTGGGAGAAAGCAGAGAGGCAGACATCTGGGCGAATGAAGCTGGTCTACTCGTCCATGGGCCCATGGGGTCCCATGAGAAGCAGGCTAGTATCTGCCAGGTGGCTCCTGAGGGAGCAGTGCCCTGAAACAAGCTCATGCTGGCAGTCCTGGTAGCAGGGAGCTTCCCATTGTGTAACACCAGCATTCAAGCCCAGACCCAGTGAGCGAGTCAACTCCTGGTTTGTTTAATTCAGTCCTATTGTTATTCTCGGTTGTAAGCTCGTTGGCCAGCTCGCCGCTGCTTAGAGTTTTCTCTCTACCTCTTTCAGATTTTCTACCCTGCTCATCCCTGCAGCACATGAACTTCAGACCTTCGTACGACCATCATGGCTATTGCTGATCTGTGTTACAGCAGCATCAAGGGGCCTGACTCAAGGTATGGCCCTGTTCGGGTAGGTCCTAGGCTTCCCACCTCTTTCGTAGGAGGCAGCCTCACCCCAAGGACCTTGCTATGCAGCTCCGGCTGGTTGTACAAGATGTCTCTGTGTGGCTGGTCCCGGCTCTTGCAGTATTTTCAGTCATTACATTTGTTGTCATCACTTTGCTAACTTGATTGTAACACGCTGAACTTGAAAACTACTAACTCATCCAGAACTGTGGATGTTTTTGTGGAAAGTTTGGTCAGCAAGTCAGCTGCGGCCCCCTCTGCCCCTGCTCCCTGTCCTGGGGCAGTCGTGCGGATGGAGCGATGGGCAGATGGCTGCCTCTTGCTTTCGGTGACGTTCAGATGTGCAGACGCTTCGAGCCTCCGCACTTCCTGGCGCAGGCTTGTTTTACGTTCTCAGTCTCCCCAAGCTGCTCGCACAGTGCGCTGGAAACGGTAAGTCCTCCCTGTGCTGCCTCAGCGACTGTCATAATCAGTTCTGAGAAACACTTCTGGACCTGTTTCTCATAAACGACGCCCTTTCTTTCTTCAGAACGGACCCCGGCAATGCCAGTCTGATTGGACGGGACAGGCGAGAGCATAGGGAGAACAGGGAATGCAAGGATGAAGTTGGGGCTTTTCCTGCCTGCGCTGGGGGTCCTGCTCTGTGTGGGTGAGTACTGCTGGCAGAGTGCAAGGGTGATCCTCATGGGCTCAGCCAAAGGGAGTACATGCGTGTGCAGTGCAGGCAGGGCAGGTCCCCACAGGGCTCCTGACAGATGTGTACAATGGCTTATGGTAGAAAAAAGGTTGCTTCTGGCTCAGGCGAGATGGGGCAGTCAGTTAGCTGAAAGAGAAGGATCAGCAGCGCCTTACTTCAGTCTTTAAAATAAGATCAGTGGTTGAGAAGATTGTTTCTGCCTATTCAAAATTCACTGGAGTCTTCGACAAGAGTCTGCAGAGGTGAGCAAAGGTACGGGCAAGGCAACCCCGGGCAGTAGCACAGTTCAGGGGAGCCAGGACTCCTGCCTCCTGTTCTTGGCTCTGTCATTAAACTCCTGTGTGCTCTTGGGCAAGTCACTCTTCCTCTGTAGCTCAGATTCACCATGGGAAGGCAGGAAGAGTGGCTTCTCTTTAATGTCAAGATGAGCAGCTGGTGTCTGTAAAGCACAAAGGGAGAGAGTCGGAGGAAAGGCAGAGCAGGTGTAGATACTACTGCTAAATCAGTTATGGAAATGAATTCTGCAGCCACCCCACCCAGACATGGGAACCACCTCTCGCTCTCCTTTCAGAGCATTAAAGGAAATTGGGCTTCGGTAGGCTGCAACTGATTTTTGCTAGAGCACCTGCATATATTTTATTTCTCTAAAAAAAATTCCTCTGAAGAAAACAAATCAGCTGATCGCCTTCTCCTCTAGCCCCTGGGGTTTCTTGTCTGTGGCCTCCAAGAGAGTTGCTCCCTCAGTAAATTGAATCCTGCCTGTGAAGAGACACAGAAAGAACTGAACACTTAAACAGGCTGTTTTTGCATTTATTTTTGCCCCTTTCTGCTGGCCGGCATCCCTCTAACCACCTGGCAAGCTCAGTCTAGCCACCCTGGTATTGCAGCTCCAGGGATTTTGACAAAGTTGCACATTTCCCAACCTGAATGATGCACAGAAACTATTTTGCAGAGTTCAGCCATGTTATTTTTAACACTATGGCCCTAGACCTGCAGAGAACAAACCCCTCCCAACAGGGTGAAACCGCTGGCTCTCCACAATTGGTCTCTGCTCAGCACAGCGCAGCAGGCATGTTGGTGCATTTACACCTGCCAAAGCATTTCTATGTAAAGTGGACTCAGAATGCCGCCATTTCACTTCTCCAGTTTGCATTGGCCATCACGCTGTGAAAATGGCACCCAAAGAGAAACAAGTTCAGTTCCAAATACCATTGTCTGTCTAATCTCTTATCTTGTTAGAGATTTTGGATGGATCCAACAATAGCAGTAGAGTACAAATATGCTGACTGCAAAAGTCTTCCTAGTCAAGACCAGACCCAAGGAGAAGCATTTCAACAGAATGATTATTTAAAGGACTGGAAATATTCTGCATCAGTTAACTGTTACTGTTTCCACTGACTTGAAAAATCAGCAAAAATCAATTGTCAGTAGTAATTTCTAGTGGCATCTACATAGGGTTGGTAGCTTGCAGAGATCAGACAGGTGCATACAGGAATAAAACGTTCCATGGTGGGATTTTGACACTGATTTGTGGGAGAAGGCGATCAGGGTAGAACCCGAGTGACAATATGGGAAAGAGAAGGCTGAGAGTAACCAGCAGTTTTATTATAAAATCTGAGATTGGAGGGCAGCACAGATACCTGCAGTAGGATGGTTTGAGCCACTGCCCTACCTTCAGAATGGCTCCTCTGGCACCGAAATGTGTTTCTTGCTTCTGCCACCTTTTCTGGCCTCCGCTGCCATCCTGTTTGCAAGGCTGGGGTGGATGGTGTGTTTACAGCACCAGGGTCACGTACTTATGTGGCAGACACCTGAGCAGGTACTAGGTTATTCCTGTGGGTTCCTGTTGTGCATTTTCTCCCTGGAAGCAGGTTGCTAAACACAACAGAAAGGACATTTTTGAACAGAGGAGCCCTGCAAGGACTCCCTGCATGTAGGCAGGATCTCCAGGGTGCAGCGCATAGATTTACTAATGGTTTTGTTGTGTTCTTTTACAGGTGGCACCACAGCACAGGACTGTAAGTTGATTTTACCAGCAATGCTTTTAACTATTCAGTCCTAGAGTAATGTTGTAAAACTAAGATTGACCCTGCTGTTTCTAGCTGCTTGGTGAGAGGGAGCCGGCAAGTGGGAGGCTGGGCCTGACCTAGAACCCTGAGAAGCAATGTGCATCTGCTTATCAGGTGCTGAACAGCCTTGTGTGTGCATGTGTCCACAGAGGACACATCACAGAGAACATCTCACAGTCTAAAACTCTAGATCCACAAGAGGTGCTTCTCCCTGAGCTTGGAGCCAGTGGAAGTGCCATTATTAATAGCAGTTGCTATTTAAAATGAATACTATGGTAGCATCCAAGGCCACACTCAAGTAACCATTGGGCTACCTCAGCATATACATGCAAAAGGAAGCAGTCCCTCCCCTAATAGCTTGCATTTGAAGAGTGTCACTGAGGCCAGGGGCTATGCAGTTGGTGCCTCATTTTCCCTTTGTTCCTGGTGCACTTATCCATAGGATCAATAGTTGCATGCTCACATTCTTCCTCCAGACCAGAAGGCCTCTCTGCTGATGTTGTTCTTGCTTCCCACAGCCATAGAGATCGACGTGGCGATCTCTTACACCACAGTGACTCTCACCTGCAACACTAACGTGCTTAAGACTGATTCTATAAAATGGAAGAAGGATAACACAGATGTCCAAGGCTCAGTTAGCAGAGAGAATCAGATATCAAACTACCAGGGCAGTAAAGATGATGGCACATACACCTGTGCAACAGACAAGGTCACGTCGATGCCGCTATACCTGAAAGCCAAGGGTGAGTGAAGGGGAATGCCCCTCCCACAGGAAGCGGGCACCGGGGCCTTTGGGAGCCTTTCCCTGGGCTCGGCCATGGGGATTTCCTGCCTAGCCTGAGGAGCTGGGCCCGACTTGAGGGGCGCGGGGCCGACTCTAGCACGGGCCCCCGAGGCCGCGCTGCTGCGTGTGGACGTGAGGGCTCCACAGGCTCCTGGTTGGAAGAGGGGCTGTTTGCTCCAATGCTCCCAGCTCAGCTTCTCCACGCTGCTCTGCCACAGAGCTTGCTTTGCCCTACCTGCGTCCTCATGCCAGTGGTGAGAGCGCTGTCCCACACCGAGGTGAGGCATTCCCTGAGCTTCAGAGGGCAGGGAGCGTTAAGGATTTCAGTGAAAGACACTGGCCCTGGAGGCTGCTGTGGTCCCCCTTGGAAACTGGCCCTGTTCTTCTGTCTCACAAAGCAGCTTGCAGCCCCAAAGCAAGGCAGGCTGCCTGGAAGCTGCTCTGCTCGACTGTTCCTGGAATCCCTGCCTTCTCCCTGGTGTGAACAGAAAAGGCTGAGAACCTGGGGAGAAAAAGGAAGAGGTGTCAGGGAGGGCTTGCATCCTTGTGCAAGGACTCTGCAGAGATCAGGAGACTGTTCAGTCCTGGCCCCCTCAGCTCCCTCACCCTGTTGGTGCTGGCTGCACTGAGGCATGGGGAGGGTAGAACCGTCCCTGCCTTCCCCCAGCTTCTTGGCCTGCCCTCCCCTCTCATCCCCTCATGAAGGAAGGGCACCATTTCCATTAATGTGAAGCAGACGAGCGAGGTCTTCATAGCGTGAGCAGGAGCACATGGCTCTGGGCTGAGACTCGTGGCTGTCTCCTGCCTCCCCGCCCACCACCATTCTCCCTTGGCTCTGAGGGCAGCTTGCCAGTCTCCATGCCCCTGACCCATCCCTTCCCCTGCAGTGTGCGAGAACTGCCAGGAGCTGGACATCCTGATCGTGGCCTTCATCATCATTGTGGATCTTATCATCACCTCCATGGTGCTGTTCCTGGTCTACTACTGCAGCAAGAGCCAGAAGGGGAGAGCTGGGGCTGGGGCTGGAGCAGGCGCAGGAGGACGGCCACGAGGTGAGGGCGGCTTTGGTGGCATCCAGTCCCTTGGAGACCAGGGCAGACAGGCTGAGAAGAGGAGACTGAGCACAAAGGCAGTCACAAGGGGATCTTGCTGGGCTGGGCCCAGCCCCTGGGCAGCTTGTGCTCTAGCCAGCCTCAGGCTGCTCCTCCTCTGCCTTTGGTGTGGGGAGGGTGCACCTGCCATTTTGTGTTGATGCCAACGCCGCCACAGGAAACCATTTCACAGGCTGTCGTGCAGCAGCAGCGAGTCTGGGCTGCAGGGGGAGGCAGCCACAGCACTAGCTCGGCCTGAGAGCCATGGGGCCATGCTGCTGCCGGCTCAGCTAGTACGGGTGTTGCCAGGCACGGCCATTCAAAGACCACAACTCATACCGAAAAATCAGGTGGGCTTAAAAGCCAAGAGACTTCTCTAAGTGACAAGCTCAAAGCTCAGGTGGGTGCCCAGAGTCCTTGGCCATCCTGCATCCCCATTGCCCTGATGGTGAAGCCCCTGCGGGCTGGGGGGTGAAGTCAGCCTTTAAAGCACTGGGAAAGGGCTGTAGGTCATTACTGCTCCATGTGTTTTGTGTTTCAGGCCAGAAGATGCAGCGCCCCCCACCCATTCCAAACCCAGACTACGAGGTAACAGCATTTGCCCCTTTTGAAGTGCCCTGCTCACCCTGGGGCAGGGAAGGGGTTATGGGCAGCAGGGCCTGCCCCATGCCGAGGCCAGGCATCTTCCCTGTCAGGGGAGGTCGATGCCCTGCCCCAGAGCTGTGCACCCCTGTGTGCAAACTGCATGTCCTCATGGCTTCTGGGCACTTCTGTAATGCTCATGATCAACCAACATCTGTTCTGTTTCTGCAGCCCATCAGGAAGGGACAGCGGGAAGTGTATGCCGGCTTGGAGTCCAGGGGTTTCTGAGTCACCCAGCAGACGGCAGGCAAGACACAGCAGCGGAGGGGCCTGAAGCTTCTGTCCCATCAGAGAGGAGCTCCTACTGCCCGCTGAGCCAAGCAGCTGCCCCAGGAGATGCTTCCATGCCCCAGCTGACACAATCCTTCCTGCCACCCCTTGACCTCCCCATACAGAACCAGGCAAGGAAACAGCAGAAAGTCTTTTCCCTGTTACGTGTCAGTGGCTGTCGCCTGCTGAGATCCCCACAGAGACCTGTAGCCTGTCCTTTCCAAAGTGTCAGGGAAACCCCCTCATGCTTGGCTCTATTTATTGCAACTGTGGCCTCCACTTTCTGCTGTCAGCACCTGGCCCCGCAGGTCTCCTCCTCCCAGCTCCCAGGTGGCCTCTTTCCTGCCACATGCAGGATGTGAGCGCCCATGTCCTGAGCTCTGGGCTGGGACCCGTCAGGGCCAAGTGCTGTGCTGACTCGCATGTCAGTGTGGCCAGCTCACTGCCCCTAGTGCCTCCACTTCTCCAACTGGAGGGAGAGGCAGGCGCTGCCTGGGGTGCTGTGCATCAGTGTAGGATGATGCTGGTAAGGGGAGGGGCTTAGCCAGGGTCTCTGCTGCCTTCCCCTTGCTCCTTCATTCCACTGCCTTCACCTTCCCAGACTGCTTCCAGCTTCACAGCATTACTTTCTCTTCTTGTTGCTGCCTGGAAGGGTAACACCTGTCTCCACTAGAAGAGGGGGAGATTGCCAGCATGTTCAGGAAGGGCTGGATATAGGTGGCACGGGCGCTCTGAGCAAAGGGCTCCGCTGGAATCCCTGCAGCAGGGAACTGTTCTCCCAGGCCCCTGCAGCCCTCATTGCAAGGCATGTGCCTTTGCTTTCCCTGGCATGTCACCTGTCAGCCCAGAGCAGGGAGCTTAGATGGATGACCAAACCTTAGGCCTTTAGTATTACATTGAGTAGCTCTTGGATGCCCTGCTGTGCCCAACAGTGGGTAGGGAGAGTTGGATTCTGCTCCCAAGACCTTCAGTCCCAGCGAAACGAGAAAAAGGCCCCAAACCCCTTTTCCCTGATGGAAACTCCTGAGCCCCCAACTGCTGCCTGAACTGCCAGCACTGCCCTCCCCTCTGGAGAAGGCCTAAGATGAATTCCAAAGGCTGTGACAAGCGGCCCAGGCCGAGCAGGGTTGGCAGGAGAATAAGCCCTTTCCGTGGGTGCTAGTGTTCCCTCTGTGTCCTGCCCCAGGTCAGGAAGCTGTAGGAAAAGCACAGATCCTTGGAGCTGGCTCAACCGGTCCCAGGAGGCTGTGCCAGTGGTGGGCACTGAGCAGATGCCCACTTGCTCACCCATCCCTTGATCCATCCCTGGCAGTCCATCCCTAGCAGTCAGGCTGTGCCCAGGTGCCCCTCTCCGTTACCTAGAGGGCAGCTTTGCTTGCGCTGATCAACAGCCTTTTCTAACAAGTGTCCTGTAGGTACTTAAATGTGTGTTATATTGTCAAATAAAAAGGGAGGATTCTCTTGCTGGGTCTGCCTCAGCTGGTGTCCAGTTCATCTAGGCTTGTAATGGTCAGTGCATTCTCCATGCATATGCTCCACACACCGAGCTGTTGGTGGGCTGGGGCTGCCCAAGCCACAGGGGAGCACCAAGGTACTCTGACAGCATGCAAGGGCCAGGGCTGGTGGGGGCGAGAGGCTGCTAACCCTGCGGGTGTGGGTGCAGCGGCCAGTCTGGCACGGCAGAGGTGGCACTGGTGAGCAGGAGAGTGGGATGGGATAGCAGAGCTGTGGGTGGTCAGAACTGGGGCCCTGGGGCTGCAGGTGGCCTGGGGAGCAAGGCTGTGGTCAACCCGGGCAGCAGGGTCCAGGTCTGGCCTAGCATGGGGCTGAGCAGACTGTTGCTCAGAGGGGGAAGGGCTCCGCAGGGAGGAAGCAGCAGCAGTCGTTGGGGTGGGCTGCGGCTTAGCCCCGGTGCCTCAGCACAGCAGCGAGCGGACCTGTGCACTGGGCCCCAGAGGATGTGGTTAGGAGGCAGTACAGCTGGATCTGCCGTGCAAACGCTGCGTGCGGAGGGGAGAGGAAAGGTGCACGCAGCTCGGAGAGGGCCCTGGGCCAGATGCTCGGCTGCCGGCTCCACCGCCACCTCCCCCAGAATTGTGCCTTTGCCATAGATGGTGTGATTAGCTCCTGCCACTCTGGGCATGGCCAAGCCGGGTCCAGCTCCCGGCTGATCCCAGCCATCTGTGGACCACAGGCATGAGCTGCTTTGGGCCCAGCTATCGCACCTCCTATGCTCCTTATCTCTGCGTGATCTCTGCACGCCTGTCGACTAAAACAGCTACACCTCCTGCCTGCCCCGGCCCCTAACTCAGCTGTGCTCTGAGCAGTGCCACCAAGGCCTTCCAAGGCAGGAGGTGCAGTGAGGAAAAACCCAGCACTGTGCACAGGAAAAAGGCAGTGAGGGGAGTGTAGCCGTCCCCACCAGAGCCCCAGATTTGTAGATCTGCTGGGGCAGGCTTTGCTCCTTCTCTGGAATAAGCAGTGGCTGCTGAAAGCAAGGGCTCAGTCCCCAGAGCCCAGAGCCAGACTCCACTTGAGCGCTGTCCTACAACTCCTTGTCTCGCCGCAGGAATTGCACTTCATTTGTGACGCTGCTCTGTCTGGCGCCTGTGTGTCCAGTTGCCTCTCTGCTACAGGACACAGCCAGGCAGGCGTGGTCTAGGTGTTGTGGCTGCAGGACAGAGGCACGTTTCCTCCCTGCTTGAAGGAAACTTCCTGCCCAAACTGTTTGGATGGAAAAACTGGTTTTTGACTGAACAGAACTTTTCACTGAAAGCTCCTGGTTTCTGGGGGAAACTGCACAAAAGCCAAGCAGGCTTCTTAGGGCTGTGTGCCAGAGTGGCCTGGCCAGCAGCCCCACAGCTCACAACAGGGCTTGCACCCTTCGCGCTGCCCCCACTGGATGCCTGCTGTCGGTGCCTGTGTGGGCAGGAAAACACCTCGTCAGGCAGCAACTGCATCCTAGTTCAAGGCAAGACAGCAACAAGGTCAGCTGACACCCTGAGAAAATAGCTCGTGGCATCGGCTGTAGCAAACATGGTCCTGGATGACGTGTGCAATGGCACTACGCAGAAGGCTGTGACTATAAAGCATCGGATCCCAGGCGTCCACCCTAGGGACACCCATTGGACATACCTGGGCTCCAGGGTACATCCAGGGTGCTTGTCAGGACTTTGAGACAAGCGTCCCAGGCAAGCATGTACAGGTGGCTGCTGCAGCCCTGGACGTAACCCCATGACTTGCACAATGAGCGCACAGGTGGGCCCCAAAACATGTCACTCAAATTCTTAGAAAAACCAGAGAAAAAACATGCGCTGCAGGTGTCAGCAGCTGCCCAGGCACGGACCTGCTTCCCACGGGTGCTAACTGCCTGCTGCTCCCTGCCACCATCTGCCTCCCCTCCCGGCTCCGTTCCTGCTCACGGAGGACAGCACCCGTGGGTGGGGGAGCTCCTAGCTGCCTCTGCATGGCCAGCAAGAGGAGCCGAGAAGTGGGAGAGGGGAAAAGCCTGTGGGTCGGTGCAACCACGTTCCACTGCATCAGCATGTTTACGAGCTGGGGCGCTGCCTCCTCCAGCTAGGCCGGAAACTCCGCTCTGACATTTAGGCCGTGGCCACGAGGTGCAGCACGGGGCTCCTGCCGGTTGCTTGAGGGCTGGAGAGCATTTGTCCCCATCTCACAGCCCCAGGGAAGGGGAGAAAGGTGTTTTGCACCCCTTCGCCTTTCCCGAGGGGCGTGCTTGCAGCGTGCCCAGCTCCTCTGGGCTAGGGGCCTGTCTGTGCCGGCTGGGGAAGCACAGAAGCAGGGACCCCGCTGCTTGTCACCAGGCCCCACAGCAGCTCCCGATCTCCCTGCCGTGGACCTGGAGCAGCCCAGCAGAATCCTCCAAACACCCGTCAGCCTGGGTGAATGCTGCAGAAGACCGGCACCCAAAGAGTTAAACCAGTGCTCCCAGCAGCCAGGGGCCTCCATTGCAGCTACTCTGGGGCTGCAGGCAAGGGAAGGCCAGGGAGGGGCAGGCAAGGCCAGGATGGCTCTCGGTGGGGCATCGCTCTGCACCTGGCCTGGGCTCCCAGCCCTGCTACTGCTCAGCCCAGCTGCTGCTCCTGTTGCCTCCGTGGTCACAGCGACTGTTATCTGACTGCAGGGGGGCAGCGAGCCTGCATCAGATACGCCTCTAGCACTGGTTGCCAGCTGCAGATGGCTCGCTGTGGCAATGTTCAGGGGCTCTGGGCCAGGCCAGGGCCTTTCCACGCAGGGACCTGAGGCATGGGGAGAGGGTTGCTTGCCAAGGCCACACAGCACTCAGGGCTGAGATCCAGGTGCCCTGGCTCCTGGTGCCCACTGCCCCCTCCTGCCACCCAAACATGCTGGCAGTGAGATTGGCCTGCTGTGTCCTGCTCTGCAGCTGCAAGGCTGGATGTAACCCCTGAGCAGCGTGCAGAACAACTGCGACCAACGCGGCAGCACAGCCGGCCTCCTGAGCCAGGCGGGAACCTCCAGTCGACCTCATGCTGCCTTTAAATCACTGAGGCCTGCGGCTGGCCCCATGGCACCAGGCAGAGCATGAGACCCCGTCCCTGCAGGCTACGCAGGCACAAGGCTGCCCGGCGATGGATCAGGACCCCACGCAGAAGCTACCTCTTCTCAGCAGCCAAAGCAAAGCTTCTTTATTGCTGAACTGGGTTGCAAAAGGACAGGCGGTGCTACAAGCGTCTCCTGCTAGTAGAGACCTCTTCTCTATGAGCCGGGCTGACATGGAGCCTGTGGCTGTGGACGCCGGCTACAGGAAGGCTCTGTGGTCTGGGCTGAGGGCAGCGGGACTCTGCTCTAGCTCTGCTCTATGCGGAGGAGTGAATCGGCCCCAGCACTCTCCTGCTCACTTGCGGGTCCTGGTGACGCCAAGGCGGCTGTAGTGGCCGTCGTCCCGCTCACCCAGGGGCTGGGAGGAAAGGCAGAGGTCAGGGCTCAGTTCCTGGGCAGCTACAGTGCCCCTGGACCAGCATCTGCGCCTGTGCCCCCTGCACAGCGCAGCCTGGCCTGGCTTTGGGGGCGAGGCTGAACATCACAGCCTGAGCCTGTGCCTGTGCCCACGGCAGACGGAGCCGTGAGGCTCTGCCTGCTACTTCCCCTGTGGCCAGCAGGGCTATGGGGCAGAGCTGGCTTAGGCGGCAGAGGGCGTGTCCAAGCAGCAGACACTGCCCTGGCACCCCTGACTCGGGAGTTGGGACAGGGCAGAGCTGGGGCAGGCCCAGGCTGCTGTGCTGCTTAGGAGGATTGTTTCCCCGGTGGAGGGGTGGGACTGTGACTCAGTCAGATGCCTCCCACCCCAGGGCCCTGGGCCGCAGCACCCCTGCCCAGTCCAACAGGCATGTTGCCCAGCAAGGCCTGGCCTCTGCCCCCCGTCCCTGTTTGCATGTCCCACTTGCTGTGTGAATGGCAGGGCTGGCCAGGAGCAAGCGCCCCAGCCAACGACCCCCGCCCACCCCATACACACACACTAACCTGGTAGAGCTGTTCGTTCGCAATCAGGTTCTGTCTGTCTGAGGCTGGAAGAGATCACGTGTGGGTCTGGGGGGAGGCAGTGAACCCAGAGGGGACCCCCTGCCCCTTGTACTGCCACACCTCCCTCCCCTCCCAGACCTACAACCCACACCACTGGGAGCTCCCTTCAAGGGGGCGCGATGGGCAGCTGGGGGCCAGGCTGACAGCCTGGGGCCCTTCTCTGCCTGCAGGGCAGTGGAGAGCTCCTGTGGCTCTGGCCAAGTGCAGGCCTGCAGGCAGAGACATGTTCTCGCAGACTACAGCCACAGCCAGGAAAGAGCAAGCAGGAACACAGGTGCACACACGCACACCCACGCATGCATGTACAGCGTGGTGGACTAAGACTTGCTGGCTGCAGCTTGCCAGCCGCTCTCATTGCACACGGTCTCCAGGCCTCAGCCCAGAACTGCAGGGGAAGGTGGAAAGTCCCCTGGGGGCCCCCAGAACAGGAGTTTTCTGCCCGGTGCCTCAAGCAGCCCAGATGCTCCCTGCAGCACAAAGGCTCCCCGCTCCTCACCTCGAGACAGATGGCCCCTCTCCTGGCCAGTGATGCAGTACACAGCAATTGCCAGGAAGATGGTGGCGATGATGTCGGCGATCACGATGCCGGAGATGGTGGCTGCGTCCAGCTCGATGCAGTTCTGGCACACTACAAAGTAGAGACAAGGCAGCGCTGAAACCAGGGCACGAGCCTGCTCGCCCCAGCCATGTAGTGAGCACGGACGCCTCAGTGCATCCCTGCAGGGTCTCTGGGCTGCCCTCTGAGATGCCACACCACCAGCATGACAGTGGCATGGCAGGGAGCCCAGAACTGGTGCTGTGGACCAGGCCCAGGGCAGGCACTTAAAGGTCATCCCTTTCCAGGATCTGGACACACGCCAGCTCCGTGCATCTGCTCAGAGGCAGCCCAAGTGGGAGCTGGACAGGGCAGGGAGCAGGGTCTCCTGCGGGGCAGAGCAGGATCAGGTGGAAGCAGGCTGGGAGAGGCTGCGGGTTCAGCTGCAGCCCGTGCCTCTGGGAGCATGCACGCACACGCCTGCTGCTTGGGGCCTGTTTGGACCACTGGACAGGGCTGCAGCCAGACCCAGCCTGAAATGCAAAGGTTGCTAACACCACATCCGTTTGAACAGAAGTGGGTCTGGGGCCTGGACAGTGCGTCCACAGCCACGGCAGGTACGTTCCCAGCAAGGAAGGCAGGTTTGGGACAGCGGAACGTGCAAAGCAGCTGCTGCGCCGCTATCCACAGAGCTGGTGGGGATCCGGAGACGTGTTGCCTGGGAAAGGCACCATGTGCTCGCATCCTGGGAAAAGGACCCGCAAGGAGGCAGACCGGCTGGTGAACGCACTTCGGACGTGCACTTTCATGACGTGATTGTTGTTGTCGCTAGAACACGTGTAGACTCCTCTCGGGTCGTTCACGCTCGGGCCCAGGTCAAGTTCCGAAACATTTCCAGGGAGCTCCACCTGGTCTTTTTTCCAGGTTGAAGGCTTTGGGCACTTCAGGACCAAGTGGGTGTTTCTCATGTCCACGCTTATGGTCTGGGCTGTGAAACAAAGACAATGGCTGGGAGGTGACAAGCACGTGGCAAGCCCCGTGGGTGACCTGCCACCCACCCTGGTCCAGAACTCCAGGCTCTCCCCCCATGAGAAAGGAGACGTTGCCCCTCGAGACAGAGGCAGCTTTCCAGGGGGCACTGACTAATGGCTGCTCTCACTGAGAAAGCATCCCTGACAGTACAGGCCATGTTTGAGGGAGGTGAAAAAGCAAACATAACATCTCATTGGGATCATATGGTGTGGAGTCAACACAAAACCCTGCCAACAAACATTTCCATGCGTCGTTTGCAATTTTTGTAATGAATTTACTATTATCATGTATTGCATTTAGGATTGACATTATTGAGCAATATGTTCTTGCTAAATGACTAATAATTAACAACTGAAAAGACACGGAGTTGCCTGTGGCAGGAGCTTTGTGTGCTCCTCCACTTTCTGTGCGCCAGCATCACTACTTCACGTACTCGCCACCATTTTTAACCGAGCGCAGAAAGGATCTGCTGAGCCACAAACGGGCGTTAACGGTAAGCGACGCAGTGAGTCAACAGGAACCGCGAAGTCGACGTTCAGCTAAAGCCCCAGCGGCAGCTCAAAGACCTCGCTGCTCTCGGGAGCGTCTCCCCCAAGGTGGGTGCTGCGTGAGCAGTGACATGTCCACGCTCGGAGCGAGGCTCCACGTGGGTGCTGCGAGCTCACGGCAGAATCGGACCCTTGGTAGTCGGGCTCTTCTGCGTGAGAGGTGTTAGCACGGCCAGCGGGCACAGATGAGCTCAGAGGGCAGCGAGGGGTGGTTACGCCTCAGGACAATGGGCAGGAACTTGAGTGCCACCTTTGCCCGCCCCCACAACCCCAAACAGGGCGAGACTTGGGCTGGGTGTTTCCCTTTGCCTCTTTACCGGGGCTGGCCAGAGACTGGTCCGTGCCCCTGCCTCAGCCTCGCAGCCCCTCACGCGGACCAGGAGCGAAGCGTCACCGCTCGCTGCCCAGTGATCTGGGACACAGACCCTTCCTTCGCTGTCCCCCCCCGGGAGCAAACGCTCTTTCGTCAAGCCCAGGCACAAAGGGCTTCAAAGGCACTTGCAAGACGTGGGGTTTTACCTTCTTTACCATCGGCCTCCTTAACCAGGGCTCCTGGGGGAAAGAAGAAACATATTTTAGAAGCAGCACAAAGGCACGAGGCAGCCAGTGCCGGCCGGCTCGCCCCGCGCACGACGTGGCGGGGGGCGGCCCCGTTGGGGGAGCCGCAGGCAGGGACGGACAACGCGGCCCCATTTACACGGGGTGGGGGGCAGCCAACTGGGGGGCTACGTAAACCCGAGCAGGGCCCGGACCCCCCACACCTGTGCGGGATCTGAAGCCTGACGACCCCCGCGGGGAAGTGGGGTGCGTC